CCCCCCCCCCCCCCCTGGCATTTCGCTCAGCCTACAGCCCTGCAAAAGATATCGAGATTGTCTGAAACATCAAATATCCCTCTACCCCTGGTTATTATTTTAGGCTAGAAAACAATAAAAGAGAAAAATGACACAATAAGTTTCTTACTGATACAACCTGCAACCTACCACAAACTTTACCATCTGCGTAAAATGAAGGTTGGCATTTGCATGTTCCTTCATTACACACCGCATTGGGGTCCTTGCACACACCCGGTCTGTTTGATGGACATGGTTTGTTGAGATTCACGAGGGGTCCTTGAGGTGGAAACCAAAGATAATAAACAAATTGATTTACACACTTTTGAAATTAGCTGCATTTTTTGCTGTTTCGCAAATAAAATGAGATTCCCTGAAAATTAGAATATTTTTTCTTAAGCCCAAATTTAAATTCTATCCAAAAGCATCGATATATATAATTGTTTTCTGATTTCTACTTTATTAAAAAAAAAAAGAAAAAAAATCAGATAATTTTAAACACTCGCACACACTCTATGTGTTGACGAAATAGTGTTTTATTTTAATATTATAATGTTTTAATATTAATATACTTACTGCAGTATAAAAATCGCCCGCTGACCAAGTAAGTGTCGTTCTTGCAATCGCACGTGTTGTTAATGCATACAGCGTCTATATCCAAACACTCTCCTGTCGACTGACATGATTGGTTGAAATCAACTTTAGGAACTGTAGAATAAAGAAATCAAAATTAAAAACCACATAGCAGCAACGAAGACGAAATCAAGTCAAAATATAAAAACAATGTTTGTGCCGATAACAAAGCGCAGATGTACACACTGTCCTACTGAATGGCGTATTCTTAAAAATGTTTTGTACTCCCCGCACGAAAACGCAGTAGATGCTCCAGCGCAGTAGACTACTGCAATCATACTGCAAATATGCCTCAAATCTGCTTCGCATTGGGAGCTAATTAGCATATTTGAAACATGCTTCTATCATGCTGCTAATCTACTGCATTAATGCTCCTCCTCTGTACAACCCTATGTAATTTTTGAAGTAGAATTGCAGTAGGCTATACTGCATTTCTACTGCAAATATGCTCCACACCACTACTGCGTTAATGCTTCTTTGCTACTTCAATACTACTGCATTTTCGTGCGGGTCACCACAAATATCTTCCCTCCTTGTGAATCCACTGTTACAAGTACATTCGCCGCCGTTACAGGCAGCATTGGTGTCGTTGCATACGTCGAAGCCATGCTCAGAGGTACAGTTCTGCCCGACAAGAGATTTGGGCACTGAATTGAAAATAAGATTATGACATTATGAAAAATGTTTTGAATAGTCATCCACCATAAAAGGAAAGTCGATAATAAAGCTGATTACAGATAATGTTGATGCAGTTATTTTGACGAAATCGTTGTTATTTTATATATTTAAGGTTTGGGATAGCATACAAACTTACAACAAGTCCACGGTTTTGTTATATTTGGTTGGTGTTTATAGAAGCCAAGCAGACAACTACAGGTGCCCGCCATGCAGGATGCGTTCGGTGTTCTACATTCTTGTTCTACGTCTCCATCGCAATGTTGTCCCAGGTCTTTCTTGATTTCTAAAAGATACAAAACCATAAGTGTTGTAAAATACAACAATGTTTGTAGTCCAGAGGCGGGTAATGACAAAACGGATAAAGTCATTAAAACTACGCCCGTTTTCTTTCTAGCTGTTTAAAGAAATAAAACAAACTTCCAAAAAGTCCAATTAAATATAGAAATGAAGTTGAGAGTCTAACAGTTTAGTTTTTCATTCTGACAGCCAATCTGGAGTTGGTGATGCTAGTAATTACGCGGGAGAGAGAGAGAAAAAGAGATAGAATACTCACTACAAGAGTCAGTTTCTTTATGGTGGTAAGCCGTGTCATTACATACACACATTCCTCCCAAACACCGAGTATTTGGTACATTACTACATGAACTGTCCACAGAGCAAGGCGACCCAATCACGACTTAAATTAAGAAACAATGATTTTAACATATTAAAAATAGGCTCTTATACGTATAAATTGTATAAAACTGGGAACTCTTCTTTTAAAATATTGTACTGGTGATCCATATGTCCTGGGAATGTTGATCAAATGAGGCCTAAATCAATGTTACAAGAGCATGTGAATTTTGCATGTTGTCACAAGGGAAATTAAAAATTTGATTCAAGCACAAATGAAAAATGCTAATCTAAACTTCTATATCTTTTAACATGAATAAAGAAGCAATATCAGGTATCAAAGCTATGTAGAACAGTACGTACCATACGTGAACCTACCTTTCTCGCACATCTCCAAGCTGCTGTTGTAGAATCCAGACTGACACTGACAAATGGTGGCTTTACACGTGCTATTCATGATAGTATTACTGCACTTGGCACTGTCATTGCAGTGTGTTCCTAAAGTCACTGTTGGTGAGTAAAAGAAATGGATATCAAGAAATGGGCAGTTTGTAGCATCTGGTATTATACCTTGATTGCAAAAGATAAAATAATGCACAGGCTTAGCTGTGAGTGACACGTAATTCACACTGTACGCTTCACATTTACGTTTCAATAATTTTTAAGTTTGCTTCAAGGTACCTCTCGCAGGTTTCTAGCTGTCTTTAATATTCCTATTCTGCTTAAAAGTGTCCATGTCTGAATGACGACGAACACCTTACTGAATTTACGAAATAATGTTCGTTCAAGCGGGAAATATATTTCAGTTTTTTGAACGTACAACTGCGATCTTTTAAACTTAGAACTTGATAGTCTGAGGGGAATTTGTAATTTATAAAGATGCAATACCTGGGAATCGTATATTTTTTGGTATTTTCACCGAAGAGTTTATATTCACCTTTTACACATTCCTTTAACGTCTCATTAAAAACCCTATCTCGCAAACGCACGTTAGATACTACTGGTCATAGGACATCTTCAGTAAAGTTTACTTAAGTAAAGCTAGCAAAGGTTGTTTACCTTTTAAACATTCATACAACGTCTCGTTGAAATATCCTTTCTTACAGACGCACGTGTCTGTTTCAAAATCACAGTGGCTATGATTTACAGCTGTTGGACAGAAGCCCACATTGCCAACCACACACGGTGTACCAAGCAGCACTATTAATAAAATTAAAATAAAGTTTTCAATCAAAGTCCAGAATAAACTAAAAGAAAGTAGTGACATTGTTCTAAAACACAACATACAGACTTGACATTTAATATGGAATATTTTTTCAAAATTATTTTTCATCGTTTTTTTTTTCATATTTTCATGACTGATAAATGAAAATAAGGATTACAATCGTGTTTTAATAACTTTTATTTATCTCTTTGATGTCATTGTGACATCAGTTCATTCATTGAATTCGCCAGCGTGGTCTCTTTGTAGGTACATCAGTCTGGGCATAACTTCTGGGCATAAGTCTGGGCAGACTATTCCGTTTGACACAATAATCTGTCTGGCAATGTCTCTTTTTTTCGCGCCATTCTGGCACAGATTAACATTTTTGTAAAACATTGTTTGACTCATTTTACGCACTGCAAAACTGACCGCTTACATGCAAAATTTCAAATTCTTCTATGCAGTAGTTGCCGACATTTGGATACTTTTTTGACAGAACCATGCTTTGCCAAAGCCAAGCTTTGACCAGCCTAAAGGAGCACTACCCAATTAAATCACCGCATATTACGCAATGCAGCAGTGCAACAGACTTGGTAGTCAGTTAATTGGTAGCGACACACCTGACTTCACACTTCTCCAGTCAGATATCTTATATGAGATCTGAGTTTTATGAAAAAAGAACGCATTTTTACCTAGGCATACCTTTCAAACTGAAATATTCCATATTAAATGTCAAGTCTATATATTCAAGCCGTTTCTACGTGGAACCGATACCTTATTCACAATATCTTTAAAATATAAAACACTTTCAAGTTTAGAAGATCTATCAGTCTACAGTTTACTTTTAATACGTTTATATCTCTGTAGTAAAAACCGTAAGTCAGTTGCAAAAAATTTTGACAGAGAATGACACAAATAAATCTTTTTAGTCAGAAGAAATACCTTCCTTGCACGCATGCTCCCCTTCCTCAGCGTAGTATCCACGTAGACAAGAGCATTTCTTGTTCTCACAAATGGTGTTGTTCACTCTGCTACAGTCGGTATCATTTTGGCACTCGAGACCAACGACTTGGGCTTAGGTTAAGGGAAGGAAATTTAATACCACGTGTGTTTGTGCAATAAGACCATTGTAGGTGATACAATAGGCCTATACGAAGAAAGTAATTGCTTCTCATTTACTGTGTTAAATTATGATCTACCAACGATTTCGGCTAAACTAATGAAAATTGCTATTTAAATACATTACGGTTTGAGCAATTAGACCACTGTAGGTGATGTAAGATGTAATTTGAAAAAGGTAACTGCCCCACAATTTCCATGTTTAATAGTTTGTCTACAACAATGACAATCACATTAACATAAGTAAAATACCATGAAAATTATAATCAATACGTCGGAATGTAAAGTATAACGCATTTTGAAGTTTCCACGATATTCTTACTGTAAGTGCAGTTTTTCCCAGCTTCTTTCCCATAGAAACCTGACTTGCACTGACATCTACCGTCCAGACACTGGCTGTCATTGATTGCTGACTGACACAGGGATGTATCAATGGTTTTGTTGCAGAACGTGCCAATCACCGTTTCTAAATGACAATTTGAATTTTATTTAGTGATATATTTCCCAAAAGTTTCAGAATTGGCAAATGAGATTCTGTTGTACAGCTATACTCTCATAATTAATTTTGAAACAGCTGTTTGTTTTATTCACAGCCAGAAAGCACTTGCATAAATTAACAATCTTCTAAGAGTCACAAACGATGTTCATGGTTACAGACCAGCAGTGCTGTGTCACTTACCATTTTTGCAGGTTAAAGAACCTAGCGCCCCATAAGCTCCATGTGGACATACACAGGTGCCCAATACCCATAGACTGGCTCTTTGACATATTAGTTTCACTGAATCTGTGTTATACTGGTTGCACAGATCATTGCCCATGCAACCTTTTAGCCCTACTCCTGCCTCTAGAATACAATGCAATGAATGATAAAAACTGACGTCTTATCAGAACACTGCATGACAGCAACTCAATTAACCCAGAAAAAGTGAGTCAATATGTAATACTCAGAAATCTTATATAAAATGAAAATCAAAACATTCGGGTTAGATTACTGATCAATCATGGAACCATCAGTATACATAATGTGGTGATCATAACTTACTTATAATACATTCTCTGTCTCCATTAGTCCCATGATAAGGATATCTACATCTACAGACACCTCGAGACCCGGTTTTCGTACAGTAACTGTATTTTGTTTGTAACTTTTCCCGGCAGAAATCGTCAGATGTGCAAGTCATTCCAACTTTTGGACGAGCTAAAATAGAGTAATTTAAAAAAGATGACGTAATGTTCAATTAAAATTATCGACAATGTGTTTGTCATTTTCCATTTTGAGTTGTCTGTGTTAATATGAGTATGGATAATCAGCGATAATATATTTTCCTTTGCTTAACTCGAGAGGAAGACCATTCAGAAAGGAATTTTACTCATGATATTTGCCGATTCTGAAATCTTGAATTTTACCAAAGGAAAAAAAAAAAGAAAAAAAGAAAATAGAGAAAAATGCAAAGTAAAAGGAACAATATCGAGTCAAAGTCTTCAATTTACAAATCTTGATTCCACTGTCAGAAAAAATCTCCATAAGAAGCACTTACTATTCTTACAGAGAGAGTCCCTTCCCTCTATAGCGTAAAAGCCTTCACTTGCACAGCGGCACCGGAATCCAATACACGCCCAAGGAGAGGTACCATTCACACAGTCAGTGTCATCTTGACAAAATGTGCCCACCACTTGTTCTGAAATATAAACAGAAACAGCTAATATTTCATCTGGGGAAATAGTTCAGCCGGAGCAAAATTTCTTTGAAGAATTCAAAATTTGGCTTCTTTTTAGTCACATTATTCACAAAATGATTTGTATTTCAGTTGGGTATACCAGGACCAAAGTACTGTTGTAAGTTCAAATTGTTAAGATGAAAAGAAAGCAAGTTATTTCAGTGATAACACTCAACACTACTGCACAACCTCATATGTACACATGTACATGTAACTAAGTGCCCTTTTGCTTATCTTAAAAGTAAGTATCGTTTTTTATTTTCTAACGAATGGCTACATTTTTAGTTGTAATAATTTGCAAAAGCTACCGTAGCTTTTATATGCTTAAGTATTATTATGGTTATTTACCCTTTTCACAAACTCTAGCATCGTACGGTGCATAGTAGCCTCTTTCACACCTGCAAAGTCCTTCTAAACAAACGCCGTTGGTGATGTTGCAGTCAAGCTCCGTGCTACAACCCAGTCGTTCCACGCCTTTGATAACATCTTCTCCTTGAATAAAAGGGATTCCGTAATATAACCGTATATAAACCAACATAAAATATACTGAGCCAAAATATACACGAACAAAAAAAATTATTAAAGAAATTTATTTGTGCACACACTGGACAATAGAAGTGTCACCCCTACTGAACCAATACTTTGCGGAGATAAATGACTGTGGAATGATATGCTCCTGGTAACATTTTATTAACATCAAATTTCACAAAAGAAAGGTAGACCAGGCATTATAACTACTCAAGATCTGCCTATTTTGATTATTGATTACTTGATTATTATTTGATTACTCTGATTCAGGGGGTGACTTTTCTATTGTCCATTATGTGTATGTAAATGTCTACAATGTATGGCCAGTAATAACAGTAAACATTCCTTAACAACTAAACGTTTTTTTTTGTGATCTTTACTCTCAATTTGAAATCAATAGTACCGGACGTTCCACGTCTTTTTTACGTTTTTTCCTTGAATAAAATGGGTTCCGTATATAAAAAATCATAAAACATAAAATACAATATGCTGTAGGCATAATAACTGTTGTTAAAGGATAAAATGTGTGATTGATATCAATATTTTGTTGATTTTTTTCAGCTCTATACTGACTAAATGGAGAAGTACAAAGCATAATACCGATAAATGCCGTAGTATAGGCAAATTTGTAGAGAAGCAAAATGTGAACCATCTAATCAAGCATTTAATCAGATCTAGTCATGACAGCGTAGTGATAAACACGAGAGCTTCATTTAAAAAGACATGAATTCCATTCGTTCATAGATTTTAGAAAACGACCGCAAATCCTACAGAAGTAATTTACACATAGGACAACCTACCGTCGCTCTTCACCATGATTATCAAAAAAGTCACACTGATTATCAAAAAAGCTGTTATAAACTTGATTGTATTCATGGCAACAAACGTCTATTGAGTCTTGAGGGCTCTGCAATATAATGAAAGTTAAGAAACTGATATGTAGCTTTGTCACACAATACCATCTGAAATACTGGTTTTATGTACACATATACAACTAGAATAGGGTTGCCCCTGTCTACATAAACGTATTTCAGAAGAAATGCTTTTATAGAACCTGTAGTACATAAGGTGCGTGTTTGAAGTTATTAAATCGGATTGCAAAAAACATTTATTATTATACCTGGAGGACTTGACTGTTTGAATACATAGAAACCAACCAAACCATAAAAATTTCTTAGGACAATCTGTCATTTTTGAAGTTGACGTTTGATAAGGATATCGACTTTCTGATAAAATGACGTTTTTATTAGTACTGCTTAGAGCTATAATACTGCACGCCAAACGCCGGTCTTAAGGTAAACCTGTTTGGATCAAAAATGTTTCACCAGATGTCTAAATCATTTAATCGTTGATTTAATGGCTGAGGCGAGGATCTTTGTAGACTGGTATTCATTGGAAGCAACCCCAACCCCCGCACGGCTTCTGACCTTAGACCTGTTCTCGTTCTGACGTAACATGAGTTGATAACGAGGAGTGTTCCAAGAATTGGCTGGAGCTGCTTTTAATGTGTGCTAATGTCTATGGAAAAGAGTAGGCATCTCTTTACAATGCTTAATATAAGAAAACATATATAGAAAATATCATGTAATGAAGTAGTGGTGAACTGAAAAGAAAAAACAAAAAAACAATAAACCAATAGCCTCTTGTGCGTGCGAATATATCTAAAGATACCAATGAAAATATACTGTATATAAATCAATGTTAGACAGCGTCTACAAACAAGTGGGATTTGATAAGAGGACATATATCAAACATAATGAAATTCCAAGTGCTTGGGAGCAGGGGTACACGCGTTTTTTCCGTTACCTGCCTGGGTGAGAAACGTCTCTACACTAATCTTGGCCACGCCAAATCACATTAGCCCACTATTACTGTTTCATTAAGACCCTGATAAGAAGCTGCACCCTCGCGTATTTGGAACGCATTTTGTTCTTTTGCCATTACAAAAAGGCCAAGTGAATTATTAGTTACCTGAAATACCGCTATCACATTTCGGTCTTAACAGAATGATTTAAGTCAAAGGGCGAATTATCAAAGGATTATTTGCACTGCTACGCAGGCATGTCTTATCTACAAAATTCTGCGTTTTTATAAAAGATGTAATAACCGCAAAATTGCAATGTTATCAATCTTTACGTGAAATGATAATCTGATACTTTTTGACGAAGTTGTTAATAATAAAAGGACCTTCCCCGATATAGATGCCAACGGGGCCTTACATCATCCAAGTCTAACGTTATCGCTTATATTGGGATTAAGCGAGGCAATAGACAGTTACACAACAAGGTATACACGATATAGTCCCTTATCTTGGTGACAGACACATGGGGAAGTGACACGTGGTGAAGATATTACGAATAAAAACAGGAACGAAATGAAACCAAGGGAACGAGACAAGAGCAAATACACCTGTATTTCTTCCCGATCGATCATGAGACCGCTCTGTTGAGTGATAGCAGTAATATTATATTGACATTCATACAAACATGCCTGTTAACTTGATCTTATTTTCGTTTTTAGTTTTTTTTTTTCGAAATACTTTTCGTGTAAAAAAACAGTTCGTTACTAATTGTGAAGAGTAACAGTGTCTGTGGGATTAAAATAATTTTTATGTGGCAATTTATGAATAAAAAGAAAGATCGGGGGAGGGGGGAGAAGGCCAGAGTAAATGCTATAGATACATTAATAAAAATCTAATAAATAATTTTTCATAAATTGTTCTCTACTTGAACCTGAAGCATTTCATCGCTCACATCTTAAATACCGCATCTGAAATGCTTTTTAGTGACCATTTTTTGTACAGAAAATATAAAAAACGCACATGAATGGTTAAGAATTAATTGTAGTTACGAGATGAAAATATTTTCTTACTTTTAAACAACATACATGTTAAAAATGCTTCATCAATAAACCTACCACAACAATGACAAGATGTTTATGCTGGCAAATATAACCGGTGTATGCTTGGCTTGCAAATAGCCACAGTTAGAGTATCCACGATGGACATCACAGTGACCATACATTATAACCAGTAGGTATTTGCCAATGATAATTATGGCAGAACTATCAATTTTATCTTCAATTTTCAAACGGCAAGGATGGGTGATAAACAGTGAATATGGAAATTCAATAAGATTCGATCTACATCTGTGTCACTTACCTTAATCCTAAACCGTAAAAAAATTGATAAAATAATGCAGTCAGTGGCTAGTAGACCTCTTGAGTTGGATGGCAAGACAGAGGCTTTCCCGATAAGACAGAAAGGGCGGCTTTGACAGCGCACGGTTTAAATAGTGCTTACTTATCACAGCGGGAGTCGACGAATGGGGTTTAAATGTTGAATGGCATCCCGATATCTCGGTTACAGCGTGTGATCGAAATCGGGATTAACAATCAGGCTATTTTAAGCACCTTCTGGAATTTAGGATAGCAGAACTATGGCAAAACAAAGCAATTGATTGTCACAATTTGATTTGCATATATACATACATATATGCATTATTATGAACACAATATTTTGATAAATTAGAAATGCTTGTTGTAAAATAATGAATTAAAGATAAAAAGAACAATAGAAATGGGCCCGGGGGATTTCTGCCCTTCCGAGGGCCTCTTTTGCCAGAGTGGTCTGTTTTACGTCCTCTGAAAGGGCCCTTGTCTGTCAGGCCTCTAAATCTTGTATGAGGGTCCCTTCACGCCCTCTGAGAGGGTCCTAGTCTGGCACGCTCCCAAAACATGGTATGATGGGCCTTTCACTCTCTTTCTCTCTCTCTGAGAGGGCCCTAGAATATTAGGCTCCACAAATCTGATATGAGAGGTCTTTCACTTTTTTTTAGTGGACCTCAGTGTTCTGAAATATTTTGGGCCTACTTGCTCCATGTGAATTATGATTACAATATTTTGATAAAATAGAAATACCTGTTGTAAAATAATGAACTAAAGATAAAAAAAAACAATTGAGATGGGCCCGGGGAATCTTACCCTAAAGAGGGCCTCTTTTGTCGGAGTGCTCCGTTTTAAGTCCTCTATAAGTGCCCTTGTCTGCCAGGCCTCCAAATCCTGTATGAGGGTCCCTTCAAGTCCTTTGAGAAGGCTCTTGTCTGCCACGCTCCCAAAACATGGTATTTTACTACCCTCTATCAGGGCCGCGGTTATTGTTGTGGACATTTTTTTGCTGAATCGACATCAGACCAAAATGACTGTCTGTTTATCTAGAGATTTATCTGTGAATATCTGTCGCCCTGGTAGAGGGTAGTTATTTACTTGTAGGAACAAAGTGGTCAGTATTGCAGTGGGTGTGCTGACCATACGCATCCACCGCACCTTATTTACATAACTGAACACTTTTTACGGTCACATCCTTCAGTGTGTGCACTGTGCTGTGGGTCAGTCTTGGTCAGTCTTGGTCAGTCCCACAGTGATAGTGGCAGAATATATTGGAAAGAGGCATGTAATGGTGGGTGAAATATTTATGTACATAATTTATTTATTTACATAATGTATTTGGTGGCCATGTTCTAATGATGTAAATGCTAGTTTGGCCATGTAATGATTTTCATTGGTCAAGGATAGTAATGCAAGAATTCTTTAAGTGAACTTGTGATAATGTATTTCTGTTTGGAAGGAAATATATTTCACAGCTCTGAATAATATCTATAGATAGCAGAAAAGGTCTTTATTAAAGTAGGAGTTAATTTATATACATAACAATTAGTTTTAATTTGTGTTTTTTTTGTTTTTAGCATTTAGCAGAAATAAAGGATTATGCCTGTTGACATGTGTCTTCTTAATTCTGTGGCCCCGATGAGCTACATTACTTCCTCGGAGAGGGCCCCAGAATATCGGGTCTACAAATCTGGTATAAGAGGTCTTTCACTTTGTTTTATTGGACCTCAGTCTTCGGTCTCCCCAAATCTGACATATTGGGGCCCACTTGCACCATGTGAAAGGGGCCCGTCTCGCTAAGGTAAGCTTAGATATTGTACGATGAATATGTTAAACAAGTAAAAATGCGCGAAACACAAGGACCCAGCGCTAGAGCAGCATGGCACCCGAGTTAAGAAGCTGCGTTAGGTGTGCGGTATTGCTATAAAAATGGTTTTGTCTTGCAATAAGATTTATAGGGGATTCTAGCCAACTGGACTTATAAGTTCGTTTGATGTAATGATTGCAAATTTTGAACTGAGTGTAGCCTAATAATAAACATTCAGAGTTTCAGAGTGCATTTGCGTTTTATCAACTTGGGACTGAAACGTCTGTTTGTGTTCATAAACTCTCTCTCTCTCTCTCTCACTCTCTCTCTCACACACACACACACACACACACACACTAGAGCTTAAGCATGGCAATTAGAGGGGTCTTTGATAGAGAGTAGTATGCTTTGTGTAAGTAGGCCCTATACACATGGTTTGGACTTCCAGAAACAATGTCGAAAGGGTTATAAGGGGGGGGGGGGCGAAGGTCGGCTTCGCATCTGCGGAACCCCCTTCAAATAAACTTGGATCCGCCCCTGTGTTATATTTTCCAAATACCTCGGTCCACAGGGAAGGACTGCTTTTACTCCGGAGAATTTGAGCCCGGCAGTCTACGACCCTCTCGAAGGAAGTAAAAAGGGACTGCGTAACGGAACTTTGGAGCCTGGCAATCGAAGCCTGGAGGCTCCATTACATTTTTATTTTTTCTTTTATTTTTAATTTAAATATTTTGTTTTAATAGTGTAATCAATTTACTGCATATTAAAGTTTAAGACAGACAATTACTTTGCTTTGACATTTAAACAGCGCTTGACTACTTAAATAATAACTTTGCTATCCTATTTTCCTGATGGTGCTAAAAATACCCTGGTCTAGTTCATGCCAAATTTGATCATACGCCAAAAACGTGATATATCAGTATGTCATTCATCATTTAAACAAGGTTCGCGGCCTCCCGCTGTGGCCAAGCAGTAGTATTTTAACCCTACGCTGTTTAAACTGCATTTTTGTCTGTCGAACAAGCGTCGTCGGAAAAAACACGGTGTATCAGCAGTTTAGAATTTAGGTAAGTGACATTGCTGTAGATCTTTTAAAACAATTTTCCCAACTTAATTTTTATCAACCTTTGTTGCTGCATGGTGCACAATTTTTGGAGACTCTTTGATAAGATTCTTTCCTTCTATCACTAGCTAATGGCTAATGTGATAGTTAAGCACGTGCCGGTAGATTTAGTTGGTTAAACATATTAAATTAAGTAGTTTAGGCACGTGTAATTTTTATAAATATTACTTACATAAATGTTTCATATTTTGTTAAGCTAAGCAGATCTTTTCTTTTTACTACAGATGATTCGTATAGTGTTATAATCTATGTCTGCATACATGTGTATTTTGATATTTTCTTAACGTGTATTATTTACAAGAAAAAAGCTAAAACAAAAGATTTTTAAATTGTCAACAAAAGCAACTACATTTTAGATGCGACACGATTTGAACTCACATCTAAGGTTCTAACGGTTGATAGCTTGAGATAAATCGAAAGGCGTACGGCAACGCCTTTTGCCAAATTAAAACGTGATGTAATTCCGTTAAAAAACCTTGATATTTAGCAGGGATGTCTCACCTTAAATTTGCTCCTTTTCACCTTTTCCCCAGGTTTTTACATTTTAACTGCTAGGATAATTTTAATCCTACATGTATAGTCACCTGGACTCCCACTGGCAATGCAAATGTCAAACTGCACAATTCATAAATTCACTCAAAAAGATAACACTTTTTTTGTATTATTAAAAAGATAAGAGGAAAAAAGATAATATTTTAAATAAATAGGGGCATATCGGTATGACACACGGCGTTGGGTTATTTTTCGTTTCTGATCATCAATACTTCATCGCAATTCGATTAATTTTTAAAATGTATCATTTAGGTCCTTTGGCCATTTCCGGCCAGTTCTTCATAATTCCCGTTACAATAGATCTAGGAAAGGGACTAAGAGTTTGGTTTCAAATATTTTTTGAGGAAGACGGTCTCTATTCATTAAAATATTGATGATTGGTTCAGGGATCTGGTGACGCGTTTACCCTAAGCAGTTTTAATTAACACTGCAACATCTTATTAAAATTGACATCTTAATTAAATGTCGTTTCAGAATGATAGATGGTCCTAAGAAATTAGTATAGTTTGGTTTCTATGTGTTCACACAGCCAAGCCCCCTGTATGGTGATAGATGTTCTTCAGCAATCTAATTTATCTCTTAATAACTACGTATACGTGCCCGTTACGCAGCAAATTTTATAAAAGTTTTAATTTTATACAAACGTCTCGTATATTTTACCAGGTACAACAACCAGCATTATTAGATGACATCGTGTAGTATTGATATATGTATGACTTTACTATCATTTTATTACAGACCTTTTCAAGCTCTCGTTGACGCCTGTTGCCATGGATGCGATACAGTATATATTCTTGATCATCTGTGTGAGCTTTCAACATGTGAAGAGCGACGGTATGTTGCCCTATGAATAAAGTACATAAATTAATATTCTTTGCTGCCATTTTTGTGAATCTATAAAAGAATCGCATTCATGTGCCTTTACTTACTGAAGCTTCGAGTCCATCACTGGCGTTGTCATGGCTTAATCCGATAATCCACAAATTATTCATTTTTAGTCTCTGTACAAATTTTAAATTGAATATCCTACAAGTAAAACATGTACATTGTCCACTTTGATTTGATACAATAGAATTAAATATCAAACACCACTTACCAAAGAAAATCCATTTGGTGTTTTTTCTATCCAAAATACAACAATCTATTTTTGGTATATTGCAAATCAGGTGGGTCCATACCATATGGCCATGGAGATGTTATACAAGGCGTGGAACGGTTGAACTGTAGCACGATTGATTGCAACATCACCAACGGCGTTTGTTTAGAAGAGCTATGCAGGTGTGATAGAGGCTACTATGCACCATATGATGCACGAGTTTGTGAAAAGGGTAAATAATCCCAAAGTAGTTTGCAAACCATTGTAAATGCCATGTCAAATGCAACGGTACAGTTTTTCAAATTAGGTGAACAAAATAGGTTTGAATAGAATTGAATAATTTTCCGGTAAAACCATTGTTCCAGTTGCTACCGTTGCTTGCAATTTATCAAAACTTATCAATCAAAGGTATTTGGTTATATTTCAGAACAAGTGGTGGGCACGTTTTGCCAAGATGACACTGACTGTGTGAACGGCACCTCTCAATGGGCGTGTATTGAATTCCGGTGCCGCTGTGCAAGTGAAGGATTTTACGCTACAGAGGGAAGGGACTCCCCCTGAAAGAATAGTAAGTGTGTGTCTCTTATGGAGATTTTTTCAGGCAATGGATTCAAGATTTGTAAATTGAAGATTTTGACTTGACATTAAAACTTTTTACTTTCATTTCCCCTATTTTGTTATTTACTTTTTTTCTTGGGTAAAATTCTAAATTTCAGAATCGACCAATATCACGAGGAAAATTTCCTTCTGAATGGTCTTCATCTCGAGTTAAGTAAAAGTTGTTGCTGATTATCTTTGTTATCCACGTACACATTGAAAACTCGAGCTGGAAAATAACAACCACATTGTAAATAATTTTAATTTGACATTAAATAATCATTTAAATAATTCTATTTTAGCTCGTCCAAAAGTTGGAATGACTTGCACATCTGACGATTTCTGCCGGGAAAAGTTACAAACAGAATACAGTTACTGTACGAAAACCGGGTCTCGAGGTGTCTGTAGTTGTGTACTTCCTTATCATGGAAATAATGGAGACAGAAAGTGTATTATCAGTAAGTCACTACACTATTTATAATGATGGTTGCATCATTTATCCAAAATCTAAACTGAATGTTTTGGTCTTCACCTAATATTTGACCTCATTTCATCTTTTTGAGTGTCATCTATTGACTCGCTGTCTCTAAATTGTTGTGGTTGTGGCATACATTGTTTGGAAGGACATGGTAATGTAGTTTATAACATGCACCGCATCATATTCTAGAGCAAGGAGTAGGCGTGGTTTGCATGGGTAGTGATCAATGCAACCGATTTAATAAGGACTCGCTGAAACTAATATGCCAAAGAGCCAGTATATGGGAATTGGGCACCTGTGTTTGTCCACATGGAACCTATGGGGCGCTTGGTTCTTCAACTTGCAAAAATGGTAAGTGACACGGATCTGCTCGTCTGTAACCATAAACACAGTTCGTGCCTCATGGGAGGTTGTTAATTTAGGGACGTGCTATTGCTTTTTGACTATATATCAAACAAACAACTGTTATAGAATTAATGATGAGAGTATAGCTGTGCAACAGGAACTCATTTGCCAATTCTGAAACTTTTGGGAAATATATCGGTGACTAAATAAAATGTAAATTGTCATTTAGAAACGGTGATCGGCACGTTCTGCAACAACACTATTGATACGTTCCTGTGTCAGTCTGCAATCAATGACAGCCAGTGTCTGGACGGTAGATGTCAGTGCATGTTAGGTTTCTACGGAAAAGAAGCTGGGAAAACCTGCACCAACAGTAAGAATATCTTGGAAACCCGGGAATGCGTTATAATTTTCATTCCGACGTTATTATTATGCTTTTCCTGGTATTTTAATTGTTTTTAAACGTGAAAGTAAACGTCAATGATGTCGACAAACAGTTCACAATTACACACAGTAAATGTGGGACACTAACCTTTTTTAAAGATTACATCTTACATCACCTGCAGTGGTCTAATTCCCAAAACATAAATTATATAAATTTTCATTACTTAAGCCCAAGTCGTTGGTCTCGGGTGCCAAAATGAAACTGACTGTAGCAAAGTGAGCAACACCATTTGTGAGAACGACAAGTGCTCTTGTCAACGTGGATACTACGCTGAAGAAGGGGAGCCATCGTGCAAGGAAGGTATTTCTTCTGACCAGATAGATTTGTGTCATTCTCTGTCAGACAACGGACTTAAGGTAACAACGCACTTAAGGTTTTTAGTACAGAGATGTAAACTTATTAAAGTAACTTGGATACTGATAGATCTTCTAAACATGAAAGCGTTTTATCTTTCAAAGATATTGTGAATAAGGTGTCGGTTCCACTAAGAAACGACTTGAACTTAAGTCGTGTTTAAGTATAATGACAATACTTTAATTCATTTCATCAGGACTATGAATGAAACTGTTTTTTTTAAATCTTATTATTGGTTCACCGTGTGTGGTTGGTAATCCAACAACTGTAAACGATAGTCACTGCGATTTTAAAAATAAAACGTGCGTTTGCGAGAAACGTTTTTTTTAATGAGACGCTAAAAGGATGTTTAAAGGGTGAATATAAACTCTTTTATCTTTTATTACTGAGGGGGCCTATAAAAATAACATTTCCTTGTGGGCCTATAATTAACATTTCTTTATGACAACATGCCGCATTCACATGCCATTGTAACGTTGAGTTGGACCTCTTTTGATAAATATCACCTGGAGTGCGTATTACCAATACAATATTATAAAAGAAGCGTTTCAGACTTTAAATATTTTAACAAGGCCTATTTTCGGTATGTTAAAATCATTGTTTCTTAATTTAAGTCGAAATAGGGTCGCCTTGCTCTGCGAACAGTTCATGTTATAGTGTGCCAATTAGTCAGTGTTTGAGAGGAAGGTGTGAATGTAAAGACGCAGCTTGTTCTCTCTCTCTCTCTGGCATAATTACGAGTATCACCGACTCCAGGTTGGTTGTAAGAATGGAAAATTAAACTGTTAGACTTCCAACTTCATTTCGGTATTTTATTGGACTTTTTGGAAGTTTTTTGTTCTTTAAGCAGCAAATATAAAAAGGGGCGTTCTTTTTATGACATATCCGTTTTATCATTACCCGCCTTTAAACGACAAAGATTTTTTTGTGTCTTTTAGAGATCAAGAAGGATCTGGAACAACATTGCGATGGAGACGGAGAACAAGAATGTAGAACGCTGAACGCATCCTGCATGGCGGGGATCTGTAGTTGTCTGGTTGGCTTCTATAAACACAAACCGAATATAACCAAACCGTGGACTTGCTGTAAGATCAAATGCTCCTCCCAGTTCTCAATATATAAAAACAATGTTGTTTTAAAAATAACTGCATCGACATTATCTGTTATCAACTTTATTCTCGACCCTTTTGTCTTTTATGGTAACTATTCAAAACATTTTCGTTGATGCCATGTTGTAATTTTCAACTCAGTGCCCAAATCTCTTGTCGGGCAGAACTGTACCTCTGAGCATGGCTTCGACGTATGCAACGACACCAATGCTGCCTGTAACGGCGGCGTATGTACTTGTAACAGTGGATTCGCAAGGAGGGAAGACATTTGTGGTGAGCACAAAAATATGATAAAACATCATTCAATAGGACAATGTGTACATCTGTACATTTGTAACTGTCACTGCTAAGAAATTAATTTGTGACTTGATGTCGTGTTCGATTCTGCTACGTGTTTTTAAATTTTGAATTATTAACTCTACAGTTTCTAAGGTTGACTTCACCCAGTCGTGTCAATCGACAGAAGAGTGTTTGGATATAGACGCTGTATGCATTAACAACACGTGCGACTGCAAGAACGGCACCTACTTGGTCAGTGGTCGATATTTGTACTGCAGTAAGTATATAAATAGAGCCATACTTTGTCACACTCGACGTTTATAGATGTGGATGAGTGTAGATTTGTAAACTGATAAAATTATGAAATGATGAAATTAATATAAATATGATATGTAAGACCCCTGATGTAAAAATAACGACGTAAACAACAATGTCATAAATACGACAGGCTTAATCTGTGTATACAGGGGTACATGTTAAATTGTCCTTGATAATTATTTCACAAGCATTCATACTAGCGAAATGAAATAATTTTCTTACTATCAGAGGTAAACAATATGTGTTGGGCCTATATAGAAAATTGCAAGACGAGACGTTTTATTAGTCATATGTTTCTCAACGGCTTTGGAGAGAGTTAACTTAACTTAAGAAACAAAATTCAAATTTGCATTTATATTATACATAAAAGTCTAACTAAGGCTGCCTTAATTGATACAGTTATTGATGCTCTGTTATCACCTCTAGGACCGCTAGTGAACCTCAACAAACCCTGCCCATCAAACAGACAGGGTGTGTGCAAGGACCCCAATGCGGTGTGTAGCGGAGGAAGATGCATATGTAAACCTTCATTTTATAGTAAAGATGGTAACGTTTGTGGTAAGTTTCAAGTGGTGTCATTTACATTCATTCTAAGTCACATTATGTTTCCGTTTATAATATTCTTAATTACTAGAATTACAAAGACTACGAAGGGGGGGGGGGTTGATACATTGTGTTTTTGCTATGATTGTTGTTTCGGATAATTTTGTCTTTTTGGTAGTTATGGAAATATTTATGATAACGTACTGAGAAATGAAGGGGTTTTCTACTATTTATGTAAATTTGTTCCATGCCACCTTAGTTCTTTGAACATCTGTGAAATACGTTAAACTTATTACATTGTTCTTATTATGAAACACACGGTGATAATTTGGTATTTTTAAATTTGAATTAAAATTCAATAGGCATACGTTTGTCTCTTTCTGTTTGTCCTTCCGCTTAATTCCAGTTCATTTACAATTTGTATTCATACACCAGTTTTGGAATTTTATAGTATTGCTTATTATTTTATGGTATTTTGATTTTGTTGAAGCAAATGTCATTGTTTTCTCAAGACATTTATGCATGCATTTCATTATTATTAAATCTTAGGCTTGAATATCATACTCCGCCTCTTATGTTCAATACTCTAATTGTATAAACCTAATTGCGGTGGTAGAAATTTTCCTTACCTTATAAACTCAAGTATGTGTGGTGTGGTATGGAGTGCCAAAATGATCCCGACTTTAGCAAAGTGAACAAGATTTGTGAGAATAACAAATGCCCGGGTCAAGGTGATTACTACGCTTAAGAAGGAGAGACAGCGTGCAAGAACGGCATTTCCTTAAAAAGGTTTATTTATCTCCCATTCTGTTGATAATGATTACAACAGACTTAGGTGTCTATTACAGAAATTTTAAATAAATTAAGAAAATTTAGAAATGATCAAAAATGAAAGTCAATTATTTTTCCTACATGTTGAGACAGGTATTTTTGACACCTGATGATTCGACGTAGAAATCGCTTAATATTGTGTTGCGATATTATTCATTTCTGTTAATTTACTTCGGATTTTGTTTGAAATAATTAAATAATTAAAATCATTATTTTTTTTTTACAGTGCTACTATATTCCCCAGGTGCGGTTGGTAATGTAGGCTTCTCTCCAACGCCGTAAACAATAGCCACTGTGATTTCAGAGCAGAAACGTACGGAAGGGTGTGTCAGTTAGACTTTGGATGCATGCTTAAATATGAATATCACTTTAATTAGTGCTAGATGCTAAATGAGAATATCCTATTACTGTGGAAAGTTTATATGTAGTAGTGAACCTAAATTTGCCTAATGTACTTTTATCACTCTTCACGGAGACCACCAACATCGTTTATATTATATTATATATGGAGAATCTATAGGTAGTATAAGTTGTGGTGGACCCATTAATAGATAGGGTAAGATGACCATGACGTAACATCCAACGCAAAATTAACTCGAAACCTTTGTCTCACTGGCCTACCTGTGTTACCTGACCTTTGTAGCAAGTTTATTAGAATATATTTTGTAATATTTAGTTTAAAAATTCATTCGTACATCATAAACAACTATCAAGATAAACACACCTTTTTATAATTTTGATAAAGTTCGTTACATGGTGGTTTTTCGGTCTAAAACTTTATTGAAGCTCTTTATCACCTGTTGGTAATTACGGGTGCGTACGGACAGTCCAAAAGTTCTGAAATCCGCACGCCTCTCGTCGCCGACTAACCCCAGTTTGTAAAAGCCACAACGTGCAGTTCAAACGGCGTAAGATGCGGGCTTGCGGTGAAACGTTGGACCAACACCGGCGACCACTGCTTGCTTTCTGGGTAAATATCATGGACACAAACATTATAATTTGATAACGTCGCGGGAAGGTTAAAAAAAGTTTAGATGTTATGTTAATAATCGTGCAAATTGCAGTGATGCAAAATTTGAAATCCCCTTTGTATGTTTTCCCCTAAGATTAACAAAAATGTATAATTTGTTAATTTTATCAAAAGTTATAAGAACATTTTAAAAGAACATGCTGGCAACGTTCTTCCGATCAAATATTTAGAATAACGTTCATAACCCTCTGGTAACTTTGTCAAAACGTTCTGTGATAGTTGGGAACATTGTTTATGATGAATTAAGGTTTGTTCATACACAGGCCTGAAAAAAAGCGCATGCTTACACCTTATCTTACCGGTCGACCAAATACAATCGCGAAGGGTTATCGTGAAAAATTGATTGAAGATGAACTCTAGTCAATATTTACTCTGCAAGAAGCCCCATGAAACAAGCGTGAGGATTGTGCTCGTCCTCGCTAAGAAAGAATTCAATTTGACTCCACACGAACTCATCACAGCTTATCACACCATTGGCATTTGTTTCAAGCACTTTGAATACATCCGCTGACTTTTTTGTTGAATTTCCATTACCATGGAATAATGTCTTTTTCTACTTTGGGAAGATCAACCATATACTATACTATCCTCCATTAGAGACAGTTCTATCATAAAAAAACTGGACGGACCTCGGAGAAAACTGTTTTGATAAAGTTGATAAAATTGCATGCTTTTCAAGACATGTAAAGTGTTCAAGACATGTAAAGTGTTCAAGACATGTAAAGTGTTCAATATGATCGTGTCACGTATACAGTCATCGCATTCTTCCTTTTATTTAACATCTTGATTAATTTATGGACAATATGATTTTCAGGTCATATAATACACCATCAATCATGACTTGATCCTGTCATCAGACATTATCTTTTGAGGGTCAACCCTACCGTTATTTGTCTTTTTGTGAGGACCTGCCTGTGTCTAAAAGTTATCAAATTTGTTATGTGCACCGTGGCTGGCTCACGTGTTAGCAAACACAAGAACAGGTAGTTGATCATCATGTTGCAGTTATAGCGTGTGTGTGTGTGTGTGTGTGTGTGTGTGTGTGTGAGAGAGAGAGAGAGAGAGAGAGAGAGAGAGAGGTGGGTAATTGGCTTCATAGACATAAAGAGATGTGTTCAGTTCCAGGTCTAAAACGATATTATAGCACAAAGACTACAAATTCATTCCAAGTGTCTACAGTCTGTTTTTAATGTACGGTTCAATCAGCATCGATCTCGAACAAACTACTGTAATGTAAGACCAGAGGCCCAGAATTCTCTTTCAATATCATATGCAGTTTTGAGTAAGTATTTTGAAATCAATACCACACACCCATTACAACTTCTTGACCCTGTGATAACGCTGCGTTATTTTTGTTTGCAGTAATTTCACTTGAAATCCACATAATCATCGTATGTATCCGAGCTTACATGATCTGGGAAGGTGATCGTTACAAGCCCTAAGTACTGAAAGGAATAATCACACATCAACTTAAGCCCGTGTTGAATATCGTGAGTGTCCTCACTGTTCTGAAATTAATATTGAAAATGAGAGTATTTTTTATTAGAATGTCAATAACATACTATAGATTAACAATACTGATGATACGATTTGAAAGCTTTAAGAAGCGAAATAGAGACTTACCCGGTACTAACAACAGTCGTATTGAACTTCATTACCTCTCAGTCCTCACGTCATATTTATGTGCATTTTAAATCTACTTATATGTAAAATAGGTAGTGTAGAGAGCCTGAAAATGTGTATGTTTTCAGTTTAGTGCTCAATAAAGAATAATGGTGCACATGTCAAAGTATGGGAATCAACTACTTTGACTCCATTCCCATACCTAGATCTATATAGCAGAATCGACCCATCTCCGAGGGGTTGGGGTTTCTCGCTAAATTGCTTTTAGCTTAAGAGGCTTAGATGTCTGCTACGCCTACTGAAGCTGTTAAACGACAATTAATCCTAACAGCTTCAGTAGGCGTGTCAATCATCAGAGCCGCTTAAGTCAATTTAGCAAGAAACCCCTCGGAGATGTGTCGATCCCGCTAGATAGCTCTAGGTATGGGAATGGGGTTTTGTAAAAACATATTTTTGATTTCTTGAATCATACGCTTGCTATCTAAATATCTGATGATGCTTCAAATAGCCTCAAATAGCTATTAAATGCTGATTTCGGTCTCACAGAAGGAGTTATGAGTAGGTCCCCTACATCCTTCAAGATTTAAACCCCTTTTGCCTCCCCTCTCCCGTGATAAAGAAGCACTATTTAAAGCGCACGTAGTCCAAGCTATCTTATCTGCTAAGTCTCTGCTTTGCCATCACATACCATCAAAGATCACAAGAGAACTTACTCTATCAGCCACTTGACTATATAATTATTAACAAGTGTTTTTTTCGACAGGAATTAAGGTAAGTGACATAACACGGCTGTAGATCGAAGCTTTTTGAATTTTCACAATTAACTGTTTCTCATCCATCCTTGCTGTATGAAAGTTGAAGATTAGGTTGATAGTTCTGTCAATGTTATCGATGGCAGCTAAACTGCATACTGATTATAATACACGTCCACTTCAATTACTCGTAAGTAGCTAGCCGTAGATACGACCTTCATCGCAGTGGCTGTTGTAAGAGCTAAGTACATAATCGGCAGATTTAGTAGCATAAATATATGTAGTTGAATACAGATTTATTCAAATAACGATAATTAAAAGAGCTTATTTAATAAGTCATACTTTTGTAAAGTGGGCAGTTCTTTCCAAGCTGACTGGGGTTAGAGGGACGGTAAGCTTTAAAGGTGGACATAATTTACCGCACCAGAAGTAAAATGTTATGATTCTAACTCTAACGCTCTCAAAAAGTCTGAAAATGTAGGGAGAAAAAAACTGCTACTCTAGAATAAGAGGAAGTATTTATATTTATGTATTAACAATGCGAAACCCCGAAGTCAAATTAATTTCTTCTAGTGGCATTCTATAGAGGGGTCTTCTGATGGTCGATGAGGAAGAAATACAGATACATACATTTATTATTGTCTCGTTTCCTTGGTTTAATTTCATTCCTGTTTCTGTTCGTAAAATTTTCACCACTTGTTACTTCCCCATGTGTCTGTCACCAGGATAAGGGGTCATATCGTGTATAGCATGCTGTATTACTATCTATTACCTCGTTTAATCTCATGTGCTATAACGGTAGTCTTGAATGAGATAATAAGTCTCCATTTGTATATACATGTACGTCTTGAAATTCTGTTTTCCATGTTTGTTTAAATATCATTTCACACAAAGAATGGCAGATTTGGGGGCATTTTCTACAAATTATGTACTCTACTTATATTGTAAACATTACAGTCAGCTTCAGCCAGTTCTGGGAACTGTGCTCGTTATCAATTCCTGTAACTTGATACATGTATTTGGGGTCCTAGGGCAACAAGAAGGTGATAAACTATTTGAATTGGTATTAGCTTAAAAGGTGTCAGTCATACAGATTGGTTTTTCTATGGTTAAGTTTCTGAGACGCAGTTGGGTTGCTTTCGGCGAGTAAAATAAAAAAAAAACTGAATTATATTCGTAAATGATATAATCATTGATAAATTGAGTCAGAGATCTGACCCATACCGTGTCATGTTTAGGCCTTGGTTATATTTACCATGCGATCTCAGTGCAGCGGACGAAATCTGCCCGTAAATCCCTTGTCGTGAGGCGTCTGTGCGGAGGTGGACGGTGACCGTAAAAGAGCGTACCTACGGTGCCTACGTAGCCTCAGCGGTTTTTCCAGCTAAATTTTTTGACAAATTTTAAAATTCGAATTCGAATATCGTAGGTGGCATTGCACAGATCCCTTTCACCACTTTTGCGATGGACTTGCGGTGATCGTGACAATAGATGAACCTGTTGTTGTCTTCTGTGGTGGTTTTAGCAGATATAACAACAGTGAAAATGTTTAAAGTTTAGTGTAATTTACTTGCATGAATGTGAAGTTGTGCGTTTCCTTACTTTGACCACATGGGTGCTAAAAAGTTGGGGGTTGCACCGACAACGTATCGGTCTTCAAGGAAGCCGCACAGTAGTGATACGGCAACTGAAAGGACTCCGACAAACTATTTTTCCGTACCTGACCCCAAGGGCTCGACGGATATATACATATATCACGGCACCCGCGTGTAATGTTAACTTACTCTCTGTAGCCCGTAGCCACTTACGATGTCAAAAAGATCACACGGAAAATTGAAATTCGATTTCATCGTACGGTGCCCTTGGCAAAGGGCAGTACAGGCTTTAGATTGGAGATTGGCGTTAAGTTTACCTATAGGTAGCATCAATACACAATACATTATTTTATAGAAAGCCGATGTCCTTATCAAATGTCAATGTCCTATATGGCAAATGTTTACTTACAAGCTATGTACTTGGATAGTCACGAGACCGCGAAAAAAAATACAAGCCCTTAATGTGTTGTATAATGTTTCAGAATTTTGATGACTTTAATAAATTACAGTAGATTTTGAAAAGGATTTCTTTTGTATGAAAACCAATAACAAGGTATAAATCTTGTGTATATTTGTGCCATTAATCGTGCCGTCATTGGCCAGTATTTTTAGATGGCAAGAGTGAACCATAGCTATATGTAATTTTATTGCAGACCCTACAGGATTCGCTTTGGCTCATGTTGCCATGGATGCGATCAAGTTTATATCAATCGTCTTCCTAATCAGTGTGACCTATCAACGAGTGAAGAGCGACGGTTTGTTGCCTTTTGCAGAAATTTCTATTTCCTGTCGTTTTTTAAAATCTATGAGAGAATAGCAAAGAATAGAGGCTTCGTGTTTTACTCGTCTACGAATGTAAAGTTGGAAATCTGTACTGGTCAAATTTCCCAGTCTGTATTACCCTTTTTTCATCTCTATTACGATCAATGAAGCGCTTAATAATTTTAAAATTCAATAAGATTATTATCAACCATACTCGGTGTTTATTTTATCATTTTACTACATTAATTTTATTTTCGGCATACCAGTTTTTGTCATTTGGATCCATTAAATGTGGATAACACCTTTTTATTCAAGGAGAACATGTAATAACAGGCGTGGAACGACTGGGTTGTAGGACGGAACTTGACTGCAACATCACCAACGGCGTTTGTTTAGAAGGACTTTGCAGGTGTGATAGAGGCTACTATGCACCATATGATGCACGAGTTTGTGAAAAAGGTAATAAATAGCAAATGCAATGTAATTTTTTTCAAATAAGCACAAAAAAATTAAATATGAATAAGTATTTGAATAATTTATGAATAAAAGTGTTTACATTCTCATAATTTTGCTAATACTCTGGCATAGCCATTGTCCCATGTTTCAAAGCGTGACTCTGTTGTTGTAATTGGATTAATAAAACATATTTGGGATCTCGTGATGTATGTATTATTTCAGAACAAGTGGTGGGAACGTTTTGCCAAGATGACACCGACTGTGTGAACGGCACCTCTCAATGGGCGTGTATTGGATTTCGATGCCGGTGTGCAAGTGAAGGATTTTATGCTACGGAGGGAAGGGACTCCTTCTGTAAGAATAGTAAGTGTATCTTGTGAAGACAATTTTCTGGCACTGGATTCAAGATTTGTTATTTGAAAATTTTAATTTGTTATGTATAAAATATTTTCTTTAATGTTCTTTTTATCCAATTACGTGTAAAATTTACTATTCCGAGATTGGGCGATGTCATGAGTGGAATTGTATTATATTAAGTATGTTAAAATGTTCCTTATCCTCGAAAAAGAAACTGATGATTGACGATTAATAATAATAATAATAATAATAAAACACTTCTTTAAAACCGCGCTACACATGCGTCTCAGCGCTGTTTACATAAAAAATAAAAACTCCACAGATTAATTTAAGCCAGTATAGACTAAAATAGAATACTTAAAAAATTTAAAAACTAAAAAGATGCTATAAATCAAAGTATTCTTTAAATAAAGTTTTTAAATTCTTCTTAAAACAGTAATATAAGTCACCCAGAGACACATTAGATCTTGTGATAAAATTAGACCATAAAATCGGTGCACAAATCTCGAAACTTCTGTGTCCATATGTTTTAAGAGTCTTTTTGGTGTCTTTTCGCTTAAGTTGAAGTTGTCCACTAGATCGAAGTGATCTTATAGGAGTTAAAAGTTCTATGGTAGCTAGAGTTTAAGTAAAATGGACAGTCGCCCTTTAAAATCTTAAAAGTCAAAAGTAATATTTTAAAAAGTATTCGTTGAGACACGGGTAGCCAGTGGAGGTTTCGCAGAATTGGTGTGATGTGGTCGGACTTCTGAGCTTTACAGAAGAGACGAGCAGCAGAGTTCTGAATTGATTGTACATGTAGCTTTTCCATTTGATAGTTAGGTATTCCAAACAATAGGCTATTGCAATTATCCAGTCTAGAGGTTACAAATGCATGGATGAGTAATTCAGTTTGCTTGGTGTTAATAAGGTGAAAGATCTTGGATATCCGTTGGAGACTAAAATATGCTGTTTTACATACTTTGTTAATGTGTGATGTCATTTCACATTTGTTATTAAAAATAACACCCAAGTTCCTTACTTCTGTTGTTGGTTTTATAAAAGAATCCCCAACTCTAATACTATCAAATGCAGTATTGTCTTTGGAAAACTTAGAGTTGAAATGGACTAATTCAGTTTTTTCATCATTAAAAACTAAGTAGTTGGACTTGAGCCAAGATCTAAGTTCATTCACACAAGCCTCAGTAGTTGCTTTTTCATCACAAGGATTTTCACATATAACATATATCTGGGAATCATCTGCATACAACATCAAATTGAAACCAAACTGAGCAACTACATCCTCAATTGGTGAGGTGTAGAGTGTAAACAGTATTGGACCAAGCACGGAGCCTTGTGGCACACCATAAAGTAATTTGCTTAATTTTGAAATAGAAGAGCCTATGCGTACATGTTGCTCGCGTCCAGTTAGATAAGACCGAAACCAGGAGAGAACTGTCCCAGTTATCCCAAAACGATGTGCAAGTCGTTGGAGCAATATGTCGTGATCGAGAGTATCGAAAGCTGCTGATAGATCAAGAAGAATCAATATCACATGTTTTGATCATTCAGGGCTTAAGAAGGGCTGTTTCTGTACTGTGGTTTGGTCTATATGCAGACTGGCATTTTGCATATAAGGAATAACTGCTCAAATAGTCATTTAATTGGCTTGCAACAATACTATACGTTCCAGGAGTTTGGAAAGAAATGACAGATTCGAGATTGGTCGATAGTTTTTAGGACATTAGAATTAAGGTCTGCCTTCTTTCATCAGTGGTCTTATCACTGCCTTCTTAAAGCACAGAGGGACTTTTCCAGTTTCCAGCGATTTGTTCATAAGATGGGTTAGAAAAGGTACAAGTTCATCAATATTTTCTACAATCAATGCTGGAGATAAAATATCAAGAATGGACGACGTTGGCTTTGCCTTCTTCACAAACTTCCTGACTGTATCCAATGAAACAGTGGTGAACTTATGGAAAGAGTATGGACACAAACGATCAGTTGAAGCTGTAGATAAGGTTTTGTCTATACAGTTCCTGAGGTCAGTATCTTTCTTTTCAAAGTAATTGAGAAAAATGTTACCAAGATCACTTTCAACAAATAATGTAGGTTTAATGCTAGATGCTGCTTTCTTTGTGCCTGTAAGCTCATCCATAATTGAAAAAAGGCCATTTACATCAGAGTTATCGATGCGATTTCAATGATAAGATGATTTGATATCATCTGCTCTTCGACAGTATTCTAGACGTTTACCCTTGAATATCTGGTGATGTACTTCCAGACCACTGCTTTTCCACTGACGTTCAGCTTTCCTCACAGTTTTGCGTAGCTCAGAGTGCTCAAGACAAAACCATGGTGCTCTGGGTTTTTGAGAAGCAAGTACAGTCTTTACCGGAGCAATTTCATCTAGAATAGATTCCACTGAGTGTGTGTAGTAATCACACAGGTAATCAACATCACCATCAAAACAGTGATCGTTAAAGGCAGAGAAAAGTTTTGCTTTTAAGACGGAGGGAATAATTTCCTTTAGATTGCGACGTGAGGGTTTGACTTTCACTGGCGGCGGCTTGGACACATTGACTGAGAAACGAATCAAACTATGATCTGATTGAAGACTGTCGCTTACTTCAACTGAGGTAATGAAATTTTCCTCAGAAGCTCGGGTGATAATTAAGTCCATTGTATGGCCTTTTTGGTGTGTTGGTTTATGCACATGCTGCTTGAGATTTCTGGAAAGCAGAATGTCAGATAGATGTAAAGCATCTCTGGATTGTTTGTTATCGACATGGATGTTAAAATCGCCTGCGATGAGTAGATGACCTGAAGCTGTAATAGCAGTCTCTAAAATGGATGAAAATTCTGTGAAGAAGTTCTGCATGCCTCCTTCAAGGTTCTTTTTATTGGGTGGGCGGTTAACCAAAATTGATCGGAAAATTTCACTTCCTGATCTAAAGGCAAGATCTAGTAATTCAAGAGATTTAAAGGAATGTTTTTCTCTCCTAAACATTTTGAGATTTGAGCGTGCTAGAACAGCAACTCCACCACCTCTCTTTCCAGTTCTGCATTCTTCATAGAGAGAATATCCAGATATACTGGAGTTTAGCTCGGAGATTATTGGATCATTGTTTGATTTTATCCAGTCGTCTTCATGAATACATGAGACCAAACTAGATACTTTGCTGGCTATGGAACGAGCGTTCCACAAAGCACAGTTAAGTTTCAATTTAACTTGGTAAGCTGTCTTTTTTATATGCAGAAGATTATCAAAGTTTGGACCTGTTTGTTTGCTGTTTTTGAAATTCTCCTTTGTATTTGACTGAATGGTAGTGATAACTCTTCTATGATTCACTCCACCTCGTGATCCCCTGAGTTTCTCAATAATGTTCAGGTCTTTGATTGTTGTCCATGTATTGCTAGGTAATTTGTACTTCCCTTGGGCATTGATGTCATTTAGTAAGCTTCTTGCATACGTCCACTTGTTGATAGAACAAAGACTCATTGTCCCAGTGACTGAGTAAAATTCAACTTGGTAGGAGTAGCTGGAAAACTTGTACCACCTGTACTAATATGGACATTAGAAATATTTGAGATTGCAATCCTCAGAACAATTATTTGTAATATGTGCTCTGGATATCACACAAAATTTACAAAACCAGTTTTTTTTTCAGTAGTCCTGACACCTTTAAAAACACCATCAACTAAAATTGGAAACTCACAGTAAAAACTTATTCCGAAAACTAAGATAATTCAGCAGCAGTCTAAAGCTGTAGGCAGCTCACCAGTGGCGCCCTCTTTTAGAAGAACAATGCTACACACACATCTGTTGGAAACTCAGGATGGAATTGATAACTATATAGTATGTGTTTTAGTTTACTTCAAGTCATCATTGATAAAATTGCATTTCTAGCCCGTCCGAAAGTCGGTATGACTTGCAGCATTGACGAGTTCTGTCAAGAAAAGTTACAAACAGAACACAGTTACTGTCAAATAGCCGAAAGAGAGTCTCAAGGTGTCTGCAGCTGTAAAGCACCCTATTATGGAAGCTATGGAGAAAGAAAATGTATTATCAGTAAGTGACCAGACTATACACCCTTGGTCAAAAGGGTTGTTCCACCTCCAATTCCCAGTGTTTTGGTTTTTCTTCACACCATGATTTATGAAAGATGAGTTATCTGGAATAAAAAGCACTATTTAAACAAACAAACAAAAAACAAACAAACAAGCAAACAAAAACACTTATGGAATTAGTAGTAGGACAACAATTTAACCAAGGTCTTTACTTATGTAAATGTATGCATGATCATTTTGAAATGTCATCTGAATGTTTTTTTATCTAATGTATCAGTAATGTTTGATATTTGGCATATTGGAGTATAATCTATTTATTCACCACATCTGTTTAATTCTGGTAGCTTTCATGCAACGTTTTGACAAGACGATGAAGTAGTTATTAACATACACTCTAATATATTGTAGTTAACGGCATAGGGATGGTGGGGTGCTTTAGAAGTGATCAATGCAACCGGTTCAACACACATCCAGTGAAACTAATATGCCAAAGAGCCAGTCGTTGGGAATTAGGCACCTGTGTTTGTCCACATGGAACCTATGGGCCAGCTGGTTCTTACAATTGCAAAAATGGCAAGTTAACCGACTTTACAACTATTAAAATCCTTTTTGTTGAACGTACGTCAAATAGTTTCGGACTAAATCACCAAAGAGACTGAAATGAGTGTCTCAATGAGTGTTTGGGTGTGGACAAAAATTTAAATGCCTTTTCTGAAATTTTGATATGAATATTGGAATTTAGAAATAGTGGTTGGCACATTCTGCAACAACACCATTGACGAGTCGCTGTGTCAGTCCGCAATCAATGACAGTCGGTGTCTGGACGGTAGATGTCAGTGCAAGTTGGGTTTCTACGGGAAAGAAGCTGGGAAAACTTGCAACAACAGTAAGAATATGCTGAAAGACATAAAATACGATATATTTTACAATTTGAGGCATTTATGTCAATGGTATCTGAACATTGTTTTAGTTGATGTCATTGTTTCGTAAAGAGTTGTTGACATACAGTTTATAATCAAACGAAGTAAATGGAAGAAAGGTACTTTTTCGTACATGACAACACCTACAATGGTCTAATTACACAAACTTTTTAGTGATGATAATCATTTTCCTTATCTTAAGTACAAGTCGTTGGTCTAGAGTGCCAAAATGATACCGATTGTAGCAGAGTGAACAACACCGTTTGTGAGAACGACAAATGCTCTTGTCAACGTGGATACCACGCCAACGAGGGAGACCCTAGGTGCAAGGAGGGTATTTCATCTGACTAATATTGATTATTAATTTGATGATATTAATTTGTCTCCATATCTGTCAATAATCAATTTTGAAGGTACGGTTATAAACCAATAGGCTGGGAGTTGGACTAGATGTATCTTATAAACTGGAGAATCAGGTGCGATAAATACCTGGATTCCACCTAAAATTATAGTAATGTTTTGCAATGTTATTGTTTTTTTTTCATTTATTGAACTTAAGTGGCATTTTATTTTATTCACAGTGTTGCTTGGTTTCCAATGTCTGGTTGGCAATGCGGGCTTCTGTCCATCAGCTGTAAATCATAGCCACTGTGATTTTGAAACAGACACGTGCGTCTGTAAGAAAGGTTATTTCAATGAGACGTTGTATGAATGTTTAAAAGGTAAACAGCATTTGTTAGCTTTACTTGAGAAAGTAAACTTTAATGAAGATGTCCTATAACCAGTAGCATTTAAATATCTTGGGTATTATTAAGGTTATTTTTTAATTGCATATGGGGACATAGAAACGCACGATAGATAATTGGAAGCAGATTTTAAAATATAGAGATAGTGTAATTGTGCATTATTTTATCTTTTGTAATCAATGCATACTTCTACACAAGCTCGTAGCCAGGGGGGGGGGGGGTCGGGGGGTTTGAAAGAACCACCCTTTTTGCTGGGAAAAGGTCCACATTGGGTAAAATTTGATCTACGTACATGAAGTTTTTATGGAAAAAGGTCCACTTCTTCAGAAAAAGAACCCCCCTTTTGAGATTGCTGGCTACATGTAAGTTTCACAACACTGTATTTCCTGATATCCATATCTGTTATAGTGACCTTAGGAACACCCTGCAATGACAGTGCCAAGTGTAGTAATACTATCAGGAATAGCACGTGTGATGCCAATATTTGCCAGTGTCAGTCAGGATTCTACAACAGCAGCTTGGAGATGTGCGAGAAAGGTAGGGACCCATTCTACCTCAAGTTTTTGCAATATTCTCATTTTGAAAGATATTTGTTCAGATTTGCATTTTTGATTTGAATCTTTAATTTTCCTTTTGACGACACGCCACATTTATATGCCCTTGTAACATTGGGTTGGACCTCTTGATCAATTCCCATGATGTACGTATTATCAGTACAATATTTCACAAGTTGACTTCTAGGTTTTAAACATTTAAATAGGGTCTATTTTATTATGTTTAAATCACTGTTTTTACAATTTAAGCCGTGATAGGGTCACCTTGCTCTGTGAACGTTTCATGTAGAAGTTTGCCAAATACTCGTTTTAAGAGAGGAAGGTGTGAATGCGATGGAACGGCTTACCGCCACGATAGAAGTGACATCTGTAGTCAATATTCTCTTCCTCTCATAATTAACACCAACTTCAAGTTTTAACAGTGAATTATAAAATTGTTAAATACAATAAAAATTGTTTTTAACATTATGTAGGCCTATGCTTTTGTATTTATTAAGAAATCAAGAAAGACCTGGGTCAGCATTGCGATGGGGACGGAGAACAAGAATGTAGAACGCCAAACGCATCCTGCATGGCGGGCACCTGTAGTTGTCTGCTTGGTTTTTATAAACACAAAGCAAATGCAACGTCACCGTGGACTTGTTGTAAGATGAAATGCTTTTCCCAGTTTTCAACATATGATAATAATTTTGTTAAAATAATGGCATTGATAATATCTGTTATCAGCTTTATTATCGATCTTTTTCTTTTATGATGGATGACTATTCAAAATAACTTTCATTGATGTCATGTTATTATTTTTAACTCAGTGCCTAGATCTCTCGTCGGGCAGAACTGTACCTCTGAGCATGGCTTCGACGTATGCAACGACACCAATGCTGCCTGTAACGGTGGTACATGCACTTGTTACAATGGTTTTGCAATGAGGGGAGATATTTGCGGTGAGCACAAGTCGTTTTAAGAATACGCCATTCAGTAGGACAGTGTGTACATTTACGCTTCATAATTGACACTGCCAATGGTTTAATTTGCAACTTGATTTTTTCTTTGTTGCTGCTAAGTGGTTTCTAATTTTCAATTATTAACTCTACAGTTCCTAAAGTTGACTTCACCCAATGGTGCCTATCGACAGAAGAGTGTTTGGATATAGACGCTATTTGCATTCACAATACGTGCGATTGCAAGAACGGCACGTACTTGGTCAGCGGGCGATATTTGTACTGCAGTAAGTATGTGAACAGAGCTCTATTTTGTCAACACACTCAACTTTCTCAATGTTTATAGAGTGTGCATGAGTGTAGATTCGTACTAGCGAAACGAAACTTATTTTCTTATTATCAGAGGCATGCCATGTGTGTTGGACCTATATAAGAAAATGCAAGACGTTTCATAAGTCATAAATTTCTCAACGGCTTTGGAGAGAGTTTACTTTGAGGACAAAGAAAAACATTCAAATATCCATTAAATGGTTTTTTATTCTATACTCTACTTAAAGGTCTAACTAAGACTACCTTAATTGATATGGTTACTTATGCTCTGTTATCACCTCTAGGACCGCTAGTGAACCTCAACAATCCCTGCCCATCAAACAGACATGGTGTGTGCAAGGACCCCAATGCGGTGTGTAGCGGAGGAAGATGCATATGTAAACCTTCATATTATACTAAAGATGGTAACGTTTGTGGTAAGTTCCAAGTGGTGTCAGTTACAATCTTTCTAAGTCACATTTCACCTCCGTTTTTGGCATTCTTGCTTATTAGGATTGCAAGGACAAAGGGGGGGGGGGGTAATTTTCTTGTAATTTGATAGCTTTGGAAATATATAAGATAACGTAGAATTGGAGGGGTGTTCTACTATATATGTAAATTTGTTCCATGCCACCTTAGTTTTTTAAACATCTGTGAGTCACGTTTTAACAAGTCACATTGTTCTTATTGTGAAACACACAACAGTGATTTTGTGTTTTGATTCAATGTTCATACGTTCGCCTCTTTCTGTTTATCAACCCACTCAATTACAGTTCACTTACAATTTGCATTCTTAAATCAACTTTAAAATTTCAAAGCAGGGCTTATATTATTGTATTTTCTTTTTGTTGAAACAAATGTTATTGTTATATCAAGAAATTTATACATGCATTTTATTATTAATAAAATCTTAGCTGACTTGAAGTTTTCCGTCAATGTCATCACATATATTGTTCAATAGTTT